TTCTTCCCCGCCCAAGCCTCCGCGACGAATACGGCGTGCTCTGCTGTGCGCCCTGTTTGTGTGGCTGTGAGGCGCAGCCTTGGCTGGGAGGGCTGCGCGGTGGGCTGCGGCGTGCTGCAGGTGGTCGTGCGCCTGCCTGATGGTGTGCGGCGGCCGCGCAACCCGCTCGACCGGGCCGTCGGCGGCCCAGGGGGCGAGCATGCCAATGCGCGCTGCATGTGAGGCTGCTGCGCGGCTGGCGCGCAAGTTTCCGTGCGGAGAGGGACGCGCGCATGTGTTCACGCTGCGGGCGCGGGCGGGCGCGGAGGGCGGCGCGGTCTCACCGCGGTCCGTCGCCGGTTGGTCTTCGGCGTGTCGAGGGCGGGCGTGCACGAGGGCTTGCCGCCATATCGCGTGCCGCGAAGGAAAAAGTTCGCTCGCTTCTCGCGGCGCTTTGCGGGTCAGAGGCCAGCCTCGCCCAATCATGCTGCTCGCTCTCGCCTCGCTCGCTCCATTTCTCGTCGTCCGTCCCCATCAACTCTCACGAGCTCCCACCTCTCGCATCGTCGGCCCGCCCGTCCTATCCAGCACCGGAGTTGCGCCAGCGCCGGCGCCGCCACCGCCGCCACTCTCACCGTTTCCGAGCGAGGAGCTGCTGCCGCGGCTGGTCGACGGGTGCGCGGCGGGCGAGCCACTGGCGTCGCTGCTCCCGCGCTGCTTCGACCACCCGCTCGATGGCTTCCAGACCGATGCTATGGCCGCGCTCCTTGACGGCAGCTCAGTCGTCGTCTCTGCGCCGACCGGCTCGGGGAAGACGGCGGTGGCGGAGCTGGCGCTGTACGCGGCGCTGGCGCGCGGCGAGCGCGCCATCTACACCACGCCGCTCAAGGCGCTCTCCAACCAAAAGTACCGCGACCTCTCGGCCGCGCTCGGGCCCGGCTCGGTCGGCTTGCTGACGGGCGACACGCAGAAGCAGCGCGACGCGCCGGTGCTGGTGATGACGACGGAGGTGCTGCGCAACATGCTGCTCGAGCAGGACGAGATGGTCTTCGCGGCGCAGGCGGCGGGGCGGGTCGGAGTCGTCATCCTCGACGAGTTTCACTACATGAACGACAAGTCGCGTGGCACGGTCTGGGAGGAGTGCTGCGTGCTCGCGCCGCCGTCCGCAAAGCTGGTTGCGCTCTCG